GGTACTTTCTGAAGTTGAAGGACGTTTTTGGTACTTTCTGAAGTTTAAGGATAAATTGGTTAAAAAATAAAAGTTGAGGGACCAATTCAGATATTTAACCTAAAAAAATATGTTAGCTGACGTAAGCATCACCACCAATTAATTCTTAAATAGAAAAAGTTGAAAGTTGACATCTTTATTTAGAAAATAACAAAGTTAACATCCTTAAATAAAAAAAAAGTGTAAAGTTGAAATCCTTATTTGCACTTTTACTCCCACGGCAACCAATGGAAGAAACAGCTTAAAGCAGAAATAGAGTTGGTGTTAATTTATTAGCAGAATTTGAAGACTATTTACAGAATGTGAAATAGTACATATACTTTATAAAATTACACGCTTCGTTATATTGATGGTTTCTGATATTTGTGCCGTTAAAATTGACAATTTTTGTTATTTATGCTTGTAAAACTAACGATTTTCATTACATACTAATATGTAATAGAATGTATAATTTTGTAAGGTATATGTATCATTGTTCTTTATAGAATACATCCTCTAAAAGAGAGCCTTCAAATAAATTAGTTTGAGTAAAATAAAAAGATAGATTAACGATGCATAATAGGTATAATTTAACTGCACTTTATTTGCTTGTGCTATTTTATAGAATGTTAAGTATTTATGTAAACAATACTAAAGAATATTTAATTTATATTTTTCAAGTAGTTGTTCCTACACATATGAGCAATGGATTGAGTAGAAATGGTACAAAGAGTTGAGACCAGGTAAACTTACATGTGCCAACTTCTATACATAAAGTAACACCAAGAATATTCTACATGCACTCTGGGAATAATAAGCCTTTGTTGTACGTTTATGGAGGATGCTATTAAGTGAGTTAGGTGCAAAAAGCCAAACTTTAAAATTTCGTGAATAAAATGAAGTCAGAGAAGGTGTTAACTTATTGTCTGAATTTAAAGAGTATTTAATTAGAAAGGATTTTGACTGCAGAGAAGACAATCTTAAGTTAACAGAAAAAATGATAGGAGATAAACTTTAGTTTAAAAGAATGGTCAATTATATTTACTTTAATATAATTTGTTGCTAAACTAAGAAGAAGAGAAGCAGTAAATGATAATGGTAAATAATCATATATATTACATTTGCACATTAATTATTTTAATTTTTAAAATTCAAAAATTGAGAACTTAAATAATATTACATTGTTATTTGCATATAATCTTCTTGTAAGAAGAAGGAACATTTTGCTTGATTTTGGTCCTCCAATTTACATTTTTACGAAGCGTGGAGCACATCATTGGATTCAAGAGAAACTTAAGAAGAATAGATTAACAAGCAATGTCAACTTTTCTATTTGTTGTAAGGATGGTCAAATGAGATCACCACTTAGGAAAAGATCATTTTATGCTGTTAAAAGGACTTCTAGATTATATATTAAGGTGGACCAACAGCCAGGAGATGAAGAACAAATATCCAGAAATGTAATTGTCCTCAATTTGCATTTACATCTTTTAGTGCTAACATTGAGACTTTTGTTAATATTTTGGTCGGGGACCTTTCTGCTTCAAATTACATGGCCAATGGTTTCATAGAATTGAGTCAATTCTACCTCTCAAAGTTGAGAAACCAACTTTTTGCATAGCACTATATTTTTGACACTGAAAATGAAGTTCAAAATAGATTGAATGTGGCAACTACAGAAAACGATAATGATTGTTAGACAGGGGAAAACGATAGAAGATCTAATTAAAATGTTTGATGAGTGCAAGAAATTGGTTCAAATATTCAGGATATCCTAGAGATATATGACAGAAAATGAAATGTCAGAGTTTCAATTCAAAATAATTAAGTGGCGGAGGACCTGCATGTCGTCAATATTATGAACCATAGAGGCTGGAAACAGTTGGATAATGGTTGAAGGTGAAGAAGAGACTGCATGAGGTAAAATTAATTTCTGTACTGCATGAGGTAAAATTAATTTCTGTACTGCATGCGTTAATCCCAATCATACATATCTAGCTAGAAAACAGAACTTTTTCCAACTCACTCTCTCATTCTTCATGTGATCATAATTAAATATTGAAAGCTAACTCCTTTACTCAAACTTAAAAGATTCCAAAATTATATTGTATTTCTAACAATGTTATAGTTCTATACATATAAACAACTAAACCATACAAAATAACGACTGAGATTTTAAGGAAAAAATTCATGCAAATATTCAACACCAGCGTGTAGCGTGGATCGATCACATGTATTGTTTTAATTACATCAAACTTCAACTAAACTAGTTGCCCGGCCGTTTTCAGAGAAAAAACTAAATAAATAAATAATTCCTTGCATGCATAGTGCCTTCTGAATTTGGATAATTACAAGTTACAACCATAATCAGGCTGGATCCTTAATTATTCCTTCCAGGAAAAAGAACAATATTGAAACAACCTTCCAATCGTGATTCACGTTCATTGTACTCCAGCTTTAAGGTAAGCATTATTCCACTTCATTCTTGTGTGGTCCATGAATAATGGTAACTTCAATACTGCTATTTATTGTTTTTAAGGGGTTTTCTAATATATATATATATATATATATATGTGAAGAGTATTTTTTTGGAAATTAATTAATTAGTTTTTAAAAAAATAAAAGATGGCCTTTATTTAATTAAATGTCAATTTAAAATGATTCATAAATCATTGGTGATGAAATTAATACTAGTTTTTATCATTTTAAATACCAATTAATATTAAAAGAAGTATATTAATTATATCTTTAACATGTGTTTTTCTATCATGCCCTCACAAATTAGAAAAATCATTTTTCTAAAGTTCATTTTAATTAAGTAAATTAACTATGTGTAGATGGATAGATAGATTCTCATAAAAAAAAAAAAAAAGCCTATGGATAGATTGAATTGATTTTTCTAATATGTGCAAGTTAAGGGTGTAATTATAGTACCTTTTCACATTAATTACCATTAAAAAAATAAAAGTTAACCTCTATTTAAGCAAATGTTTAATTAAAATAGTACATGTGGCACTAATGATGAAATTAATGAAAATTTTTGTATATTTTAATAATAATTAATATAAAAAATATAATAATTGCACTCTTAACATATACTCTTAAGGGACAAATTAAAAAAAACCTAAATTAAATAACAAGTTATGAGTGTATTAAATGCACCATTTTGCTATTAAATTGTATGAGAAATATAAATATTGATTTTAATATAATTAATTAATCAATTAAAATGATACATGGGAAGTAGGGCTAAAGTAAATGTCTACTTTTATATTTTTTTATATAAATTAATAATTAAAGGTGTATTTACTATTTATTGCACCCTTAATTAATATGTATTCTAAGGATTTATATTAAAAAAACTCATGGAATATATGTGTTTGTTTAATCTAGCTAACTTAATTTTGAAAATGATTCCTTTGGCTTTAAAATTAGACCAAACACAGTTTTTTTTAGATCAAGTGATTCCAATTTGTTTTAAAGGATATTAATTAATACATTTTTTAGTTTAACATACTTTTTTTAGTTAAACACATTATACAACACACTCATTTAAAAAATTATTATTTTTTGATTTGAAATTAAAGACAAATAAATTTAAAAATATAATCATGCATATAAAATATAAAAATCAACTGAATTGATCATATTTATATTATATTTTAATAATTAACCTAAACAAGTGTTAAAAAAATGTGTCAAGTTAAATAGTATACTAATTATTTTACATTTTTAAAAGTTATTGGAGTTTTTTCACCTGTGAGTACATATATAGTTAATAATATATTTATTACATTATTTAACTATTAATTTACAAAAAAAAATTAAGAGTTATTTTCAATTTTATTAATTATCTAATTAAAATCATAGATATGGTATTGATATTGAAAATTGTAATTACTTTTATATTTTTTTTTAAAAATTAATTATCAAAATATGTAATAAATGCAACTAACTTTGGATAGAAAAATCCGAATTAAAGTTGTTTTCAACTTCTATAAGTAAGAAGCTGATGGTACAAAACTATACTTTTTTTTTTCAATTTAAGTTTTTGTTATTAAACTTCAGAATTTGATAATTTTTAAAATTTTATGATTATTTTGTATTATATGAGGTTATAATTCGATATTGATGTAAAACAAAAGAGAGTACTCTACACATATAATACTTACACAAACAAGACATATAGGCTCGGTTAATGTGCCCTAAAAAATGATTAAGAGATACCAGAGTAATTGTTTTATTTTTTTTGGGTAGAAAACGAGAAAAGTAATTGTTTTATATAATTTATATACCAATTATTTCTTGTTACGAATAGAATTTAATTTTTTTAAAATAAAATCTCGAATTCAAATTTTATAAATAAAAAAATACTTGTTGGAAAAGTTATAATTACCAAATATTAAGATATTAGTAAAAAAAAAAAGTAATTGTTTTATATAATTTATATATAATTTTAAATATCAACTAATAATTAACTTTTTTTTATTTTATAATAACTTGAAATATTTTATTATGATGCAATATACCCCTATATATAAAAGAAAAAAATTAAGATTTATTGATGTCAAAAATATTAAGGCCTTCAGCAACAATCACGCGAATCATTGAAAAAAAAAGAAAAAGGCTCAGTTAATACCTTCTTTATTAGGCCTGCTCTGTAGCATATGGACAACATAACAAGCAAACTAAATATGGATTCTCACCACTACTCTTTCAAGAGCGACAGCGGGTCAGATCATCATGAGCTCGACGACGAGGTATATAGAAGACAGACCCGTAAGCGCCTCATCATCATCGTACTCTCCACCGCCGTTTTCATTGCCGTCACTATCAATGCGGTGGTGGGGATCGTTGTCCCACAGAAGAACACCAAATCATCAAACCCTACTCCCTGGCAGCCTACTCCTTTAGCAGCTGCTAGTAATGATAATTACTCAACAGGTCCGTCCGTCCAAGAAATGTGCAACAACATGACTCTCTATCCTTATACCTGCACTTCAAGCATCGCTTCTCTTCTAGGCACCGACAACGGTTCAGACCAAAATCTTGATCCTAAACAATTCTTCATCCTATCCATGCAGGTAGTTTCATTTTTTTTTTCCCTTTAATAAGAAAAAAAAAAATAGAGATAGTAAGTGACAAGTTGAGTAAAACTCTTACAGTTCTTAAATCATGCAGGTTTCGCTGAATGAGTTAGTGAACATCTCATCATCTGTTCTTTCTTCAAAAGGTTATGTGAATTTGAGTAGTGCTGATAATGCTGTCTTGAGCGGGGCATTGGATGATTGTCAGACTCTTTTGAAAGATGCCATTGGTCATATCAACAAATCCATTGCTTCTGTGCAAGTGGGTCAGGGGAAGGTAGTGTTGTCCACGGACAATGTCAACGACATCAGGGTGTGGCTGAACGCCGCCATTACCGATCAGAAAACTTGTTTGGATGGGCTGAAGAAGTTTGCGAACGGGACGGCTCTGTCCGGGTACGTTGGAAATGTACTGCAAAACTCCAAGAAGTTCACCAGAAACAGTTGGGAGATTGCGTCTAAAATACCAACGTTCCTTCATAATTTCCAAACTCCGATTCGTGATCGAAAATTACTGAAGATTAACGGCGGCGGGGACCCGACGCGAGGAAATGTCTGGGGGTGAAAATTCATACATCGGATTTCAAGGCGTCACGGTTGCAAGGAACGGCAGTGGTGGGCCTACAGGCCGAGTATTAAATTGATGGGCCTTTTCCAGAGATGTTCAAAAAAATTGACGGGCCTAGATCAGAAATTAAAAAGCCGGTGAATACTGAAAGGCCCCAATGATAGGCCCAATTTTAGGTACGAACGGACTGTAATTTGTTCTGGAGCCTTTTCCATGAAGGAAGTGACCTACAGGCCCATATGTAATGTTTAGTCCAACCTTTGTTTTTTAAGGAACCAAAAAAAAGGAAATAATACCAATGAAGTTAACCTATTTTCAATTGTGAGATGTAGTATGGTTAGTTTTAACTTTCTATTAAAGAAAGTATTATAAATTTCCCAATAGCTTTGGAAGGTATCATAAGAGTTCTTAGTTTGTGTTTTTGAGTTGAAAGTCTTAAATGTAAATTTTAAAGTAAACGAAAATTGAAAATTTTATACTTCGAAAATATGGCAAACTGAAACATTATCCTTCAAAGGTTTGGTGTATATCTATCCTATTCATCACGACCCCAACCTTGCGTCATGGAAAGTAGGAAACCTCTAAGATTTTATGGGTTAGTCAGGTTTAAAGGAGCTAAGAAATGTTACTTTTTATTGTATAACTCAGTAGTATAAAATATTAAAGTTGAAATAAAATTATCGATTAAGAAATTAAAGCAACCCGCCCTCTCTTTTGCACCTTTTTAACACTCAATATCATATCTATCATATTCAAATCGAACTGATCAAGCCTTCTAATTTCCAAAAAAAGAAGCAAAATCAACGTCCATATTTAATAAGAAGCTCGAAAATTGTGAGATGTCTGTTTATTTATTAATCCTCAGCCACTAATAGGAAGCCAATATGATGGGATTTCATAGTTGCAAACTTTGGGTATGCATGTAATTGTGGCTGCTGACTTGTCCATCACTTTCTCTCCACATCATAATCCATGTGCATGTGCTTTAATTTGTTCCCATAAATTACAACCAACTTGACGTCTAAACCAACTTGATAACATATATTTTGTCCATATTAAAACCCACTAAGTACTTTTCCACCTTCGTACTATTCCAAGATGCCCAGTTAATCATACTTCTGATCACATCATTTATACCAAAGAAATATAGTCATGTCGGATTGGATAATAATTGATACATTATTTGATTCAATATATCTCTTAACATTTATCGATTGAGTTATTAAATTTTATAAATAAAATTTTTTTGACTTTAAATTTAAAATTAAAAAAAATAATTTTTTAATAAATATATTGTAAAGTGTGTTAAATTATATAATACACTAATTATTATTCTAATGGGTTACATGTCTTATGAGTTATGATCAAGAAAAGAGTATACAATAAATTAGAAATTAATTAAAAAAGAATATTCATGTATTTAAAGGGAAACGACCAATGCAAATAGAGTTTAGAGGCCTTTGTCGGCAATGGTTAAGGTTAAGGGCATACAAAATTTGTTCCATTTTTATTTTAATTTGGTTATTAAAAATAATTGATAGTTAACAGAATATATTAAAGCTAGTTATAAAATAAAAAATTTTAAATATTACAATCAATTATTCACAAAAAAAAATTATAAATCAATAAAAAGATAATTAATTTATGTGACTATAACAGTTGACCTAGTGACTATAATTATACAGCCTTTGTATTGTGAAATTTATTTTAAAAAAAAGAAAAGAAAAAGGAAAGTGATAAGCGGCCATCTAGAATGATTTCTTGTGCATTGTAATGTGGCAAAATCTCCATTTTTTTTAAAGCCTAAAACTTATCTTAAATTAATCTATTAGTTCCTAAACTAATAAAAATAATGTAAATAAACTCTCAAACCCTTTTAATGATGCCTTTAATTAAATCCCTTTAAAAATGCAAATCAACCTTTACCACTAATGACCAAAAGCATTTGATTTCATGCCATCTATTCTTTTCTTTTGTATTGTGTCACTTTCACACACGAATGCTCTTGTGAATAAAAAAACTTTTTGAACATAAAAATCCCCCAAAATGGTTCATGCAGTTTAAGAACACTAAAAAAAAAAAAAAGAGGTCACATGAGCCATTTTAAGGGAATTTTTACTTGTGTTTAAGAAAACACATGTAAAATATTAAGAACTTGAAATTTTATACCATAAATCTTAAATTTAAATTTTAAAATTGATAAAAAAAAAAAAAAGAATGTGAGAGAAGGGAGAATATATTGTCTACTGTTATAAATTTATAATGGTCTTTTAATATACATTTTCCTTTGATAAGTTGTAACACTTACACCACAATGGCTACATACAAGGGCAACAAGGAATCCAGGACAATCTTACATTTTGACTTGCCTGAACGTGAAATGATGTGAAATGTGGATAACCAGATGCATCATTATTAATAGAGGCTCCAACCTCAAGACGTCCAGATCTGTAAATAGCATTCAAGCTGAATAATTGTTGTGTTTATCGTGAAAGCAGAAGCTCTCTGTCCCTCTCTCTTTCTTTTTCTCACACACACACACCGGTCTGAATAGACAACAAGCGGTACAGCATTCAACATTTGAACCCCACTGTTTTTGGCGTTAATTTGATCAAAATTAGAGATTGAATCTAACCAAGCTAAACTGGCAAAATTTTGATCTTGTGCTTCGTGCTCAACAATTGTTTATGTTAGCTCGTTTCCACCCTTAATTGAAACATATATAGAGTGTATGATTAGAGAGAGCAATCTTAACCTTTAATTGATTGATCTATACTAACTGCTGCCACATGACGTGGCTCACTATCCCCATTCGATAAGCTAGCGAGCCCCCTATGCAATAAAACGTTTTGTTGTATTCTGTGGTACGTCTTGTTAAAATCTATTGGCCTTTTCCAGGTTTTGAGAGAACTAAAAGCCTAAAGATAATGTGTGGCGAGAGATAAAAGAGGAAGACCGTCGTATACTATGAGTCTTCTCCAGTTTCCATTATTCAGGTGAGGACAACTTCTCATTTATTGGAAACAATAACGTGATTTTCCTTTCTTCATGAGCTTTTAACATCCCTCATCCTTGAGAACGTTCGATTCCAAATCGTTAAGGAAAAGCAGCCTTTTGCCTTGAAACTTTCAGTTTACTTTCTAACTTCCAATCTTTTTTTTATTAGAGCTAATTAGGTGTTTCGGGATCAAATTGCTTACACCTCGTCATTAATACTTTTTTTAATCCAATTAAAAGTAAGTAACTTATGCAAGAATTTAAAATTTTATGAAAAATTACTTTATTAATCTCTTTAAAGAATTAAATATTGATCAACAAATGAGAGAGGAAGCTCTACATTATTGCCAATTAATTGCAACTCTTCAGGCGTTGTCATTTTCTTGTGTTCCTTGAAAAGAATGTAAGACACCTAAATTTAATTTTAGGTCATTGCATAAATAGAAAAATTGCCAGAAATGGCTACTTTTCACTTATCTTTCCTTTTTAGGCCAAATACTTTTTCACTTATCTATTCACATCCATATACAAGATGTTAAGAGGACGATTAATACATATTTCCTACAAGCCATCAAATTATTAGATTTATTAGTAAATAAGTATTATTTTATATATTAGGTCTACACATCAAGTTTGGGACAAATACTTAAAGGAAATTAATTTCCTTAAATGTATTATATATGTTGATGTGGGATATATGTAAAATCTGGCCTAGAAACACCTTGCAATAAATATTGAAAACAAAAACATATATTTACTACAACACACAAAAGATGATCCCTCACTGACATTAATCTCTTTTTTTATCAACTCTCTTATATCTCAACTTTAATAGGTTGACTCAACGGTTAAGAACTTAAAACTCTAAATTGGAGATTTCAAATTCGAATTTTGAGTCAGGTGAAAAGGAATTTAGGAATAGATGAAGGTTATTTTTTTTATATAACTCATAATTAGATGTAATGAAAAAAAAAAACTCTCTTATATCTCTTAATACATATCACTTGCATGTCATAAAATTCAAATGTGTAATTTTTTATTTTTCTAAAATAAATTTCATTAAATTATTTAACTCTTAAACTAATATTGGTTTTTAACAACAGCTTGGCGTGGAGATCAATATGTATGCACATTGTATTACAAGCACCTTTTTTTTTTAATTCAGTGGTTATTTTTTTCTACTGAAAATAAGAGATTTTGGGGTTAAGTCGCACGACATGCAAATAGGGTAAGATAAGAAATAGAAAATAATTACATTTTATTGTACAATCAAAATAAATATATATATATATTTCCACGTGCATGTGGTCACCACATCACCCCTGAGCTTTACATAACTCTCTGAAAAGATTTTCTAAATGGCCAAATATGCCCCTAAAAAAACATCGGTTTGACAGAGAAGCTCCCCATATGCCCACTTATCACAATAAAACCAGACCCAAAAGCCCAATGAAGGGAGGAAATCCGGCCCAAGTATTGAAAAAATCTATGGAAGTCGAGCGAGGCCCATTTGTTTTTCGTATCCTATTTTTATACTCTTGACTGATTAGAAACCGAAAAGTCCTAATAAAAAAAGTCGTCTCCTTTAAATTAATTTTAGGTTAGGGATAAAAGCTGAAGCATTTTATTTATGATTTTTTAAGTGTTTTTGCATGTAAAATTTAAATTTTGAAAAATTTATCAAATTTTAAAATCTATCCACAATGATTTTTGGATTTTTTTTTTTTTGAAGAAGTTCCTTTTCATCTAGATTGGCTTTGTAACATTTGAATGTCAATATGGTGTTCTTATACGTAGATATGAAGCCACATCTGTGAAAGGTTGTGGTTTCACAAATTGACATGTGAATTAAAAAACTGTAACCTTATTTTCATAAAAAAAATTTGTGCAATTCAAATTATATTAAATTATAAAATAATATTTTTTTTAATAATACATGTAGTTTCTAATAAAGAAAATCGTAATTCAAAATTTTCCAAGAAGAAAATGATGAAGGTATCTATTTTGTGTTCACTTTAAAGAAGCTTCCCAATGGATAAAACGTACATTAAAGTGACTCCAAAGGACCCCCGAAACGTACTTATCTCAGCACCACTTTTTTAATGACCCCAGACATTAGACCACCCAACTAACACTAAAATACATTCTACCGTCACTGGCCATGCAAAATATATCCAAAGTTAAGCTCCGTCCCCTCATTATAAATGTTCCCACACCCATCTCTAATAGTCAGAAAATTTTTCTCAAGAGAATTAGAGTAATTCCCTCGAAATTTCTCTAATTAATATGGGAATTCTTAAGGTAATTCTGCTTTTGCTCTTGGGGTGTGCTTCACTCTCTTTTGTAGCCATGGATGATTACCACAAAAACGTCCAAAAGCGATGCAGCTTTACCCAGTATCCTGGGCTTTGCATCGATACCTTATTGGGATATGGCTCAAGTAATCAACATACTGACTTCATATCTGCTCTAGTGAACAAGACTATCTATGAAACCAAACTCCCATCTTCATACTTCACCAAACTCAGCTCTAATCTTGATATCCAAGAAAACAAACATGTCAATTCCATCTTAGGTACGTGTGTATTAATTATTTGTTTGTATTTATTTTTATATTCGTATCCAACAGCTTAAATTTTTAAATCAAGCTTTCAAACAAAATAGACTTTTAGATAAAACAGTTTAGGTCACAATTGTTTCTATGGTTAATCTAATGTGCAGTTTGTCTTGGATCAGAAAATTGTCAAGATCTTATGAGCATGTCCATACAAAGGCTAGAACAATCTTTATTAGCCCTCAGAAAAACTAGAAAGAAAAATAAGGAGGACATCCAGACATGGATCAGTGCCGCCTTAACATTTCAACAAACATGTAAAGATTCAGCCGACAGCATTGGTCCGTCCATGGGACATATATCCGACAAAATGGATTACCTGACTCAATTGAGTAGTAATCCACTGGCCCTTGTCAACAGAATCACCGGTGATGAGGTCAAGAATGTCACCAGCCGGAGACAGGATTTCCCCAGCTGGTTAACTGTGAGAGAACGGAAAATGCTTCAGGCGAGTACGATAAAGGCAAATGCGGTGGTGGCGAAGGATGGGACGGGGAATTACAGAACGATTTCGGAGGCTATTAATGCGGCTTCCGGGGGACGGTTTGTGATTTATGTGAAGGCGGGAGTCTATAATGAGAAAATTCGTACTAAAAAAGATGGGATTACGTTGATCGGAGATGGAAAATACTCCACCATCATTGTGGGCGATGATAGTGTCGGTGGCGGCTCTTCCTTGCCCGGTTCCGCGACATTCAGTGAGTCTCTTTCTGTTTTTCCTCTTCTTTTTTAATATTGGCAAATTATGGTTTAGGTCTTCATGTTTAATATTACTTTTAAAATTATTCTTAACCTTTAAAGTTGAGCAACTAAGCCCTCAAAATCTTATTTATTTATTTTAGTACATCCTAAGTTCGCTGCTTCATACAATCAAGACAAAGTTTTAAAGAGGTGTTACAATTGGTAGAGTCGTAAAATTTAAGTTAAAAATTTTAAATTTAAACATTGAGTTTAATAAAGGAATTTTTATTTATTTTAAAAAAAAAGGTTGTTTTATTTTATATAATTTATAATTAATGGGAAAATAATAATAAAGTACTAAAATACATAAAGAATAATTTTTCTTGGCAACTAAAAAAAAAAAACCTTGATATGTGAATTAGATTTTCAACATTTTTTCTCCCAACTAAATTTGTAATGTCCATTCCCTCCATTATGGTGGTCCCATCAAACATGAGAAAAATAATTTCTTCTCTTTGATTACTCAGCTGTTACCGGCGATGGATTCATTGCACGAGACATCGGATTTCAGAACACGGCGGGTCCCGAGGGACGACAGGCGTTGGCCCTCTACGTTGCCTCCGACCATGCCGTTTTCTTCAGGTGCAGCATTAGCGGGTACCAAGACACTCTGTACGCGCTTGCTCTGCGTCAGTTCTACCGGGAGTGCGACATTTACGGCACAATCGACTTCATCTTCGGAAACGCCGCCGCCGTATTCCAAAACTGCTACTTGGCTCTGCGCAATCCCCGCAAAGGTTCAAGTTACAGCGTGATTCTGGCAAACGGACGATCAAACCCGGGGCAGAACACCGGATTTTCAGTTCAGAATTGTCGAATAACGGCCAGTTCAGATTTTTCTCCGGTTAAACACCAATTCAATTCCTATCTGGGAAGGCCATGGAAGCAATATTCGAGATCGGTGGTGATGCAATCGACGATTGATGATGTAATTTCATCAAGGGGTTGGGTTGAATGGCCTGGAGCAGGGAGCTCTGTTACGAAAACTCTGTATTTTGCAGAATTTGCAAACACCGGACCTGGGGCCGGAACCTCAAACAGAGTAACTTGGCCAGGATTTCATGTTATCGAAGCTGATGAGGCCATGAAATTCACCGTCAAAAACTTCATCGCCGGAACTTCATGGCTGCCGTCGACCGGAGTAACTTTTATCGCTGGTCTTAAGTGATTAATTGGATTAGAAGCAGGTTAAAAGACTTTAAATAGGGGATTGCTTACTTATGCTAGAAGATAAAGAGCAAAGGATATAGCTAAAAAAAGGATAAGTTCTTGTTCTCAGACATGAAATATTCTGTTTAAGGTTTGGTTTTTTCCTTTCTTTCCCTTGTTCACGTTTAATCTTTCACTGAAAACATGTAAGTAGTGTGATCTGTAATAAATTTATGGAAGTTGTGACTCCCTCTCTGGTTGATTTATTTATTTCTTCTAACTCAACCACTAATTAATTTACTAATAAGTAACTAGCATTTTATAAATTAAGTTTATATAAAAGTGAGTTTATGAGATTGATACGAAAATAATTAGTTTTAAGACGTGTAAAATTTTGTTTAAAGACACTTTAATCATATTAAAAAGAAAAAACTATTGACATTATTGGCAGACCGAAAGGTAAGATATCAAAAGAAAACAATTTTTTTTTTTTTAAATCATAATGCAAATTCTTTAATAAATTGTTTTTTGGTTTTTCTCCCGTGCTCCAAACCCATCGAGCTAGGGTTTGGAGTTGGCAGGCATCTCCTTCGAGATTACTCTCCAGCTGAGAAGCCTTCTTACTCTTTCTTTCTACTCTTGGATCAAGCCTTTGAAAAGTTGTTCCTACCGATCTGATTTGGTGAGCCTTGGTGCTCCTAGATAGTGGCACAAATGGTTCTTGCTTTGTCATCGCGACAGCAACACAACGATGGTGGAAGATGACTTAGGATCTATGTGTAGCCATATTTGAATCGTGGAGAATGAAGATGGGATCCTCCCACTGCATATGGTTTGGAGGCAAGAAGATGCTAAAGTGGAAAAGCTATGTTTGATCCCAAAGGAGGGTCAACCTCAATGGCCTCCATAATAATTTAATGGTCTCATGGAACCCTAAGAAAGCTTTTAAAATCTTGGAGATTGGAAAAGAGATTTATTTATTCCAATTCTTTGATATTGGAGATCTCAACAAAGTCATTCATAAGGGTCATTGGAATTTTAGCAACACACTGCTTTTTTTTAAAGAGATTTCAAGTTTCTCTGACTACAAAGTAATATAATTTTTCCACAAATCTATTTTAGGTCAGGATCTTTCGAAGTCCTTTTTGGTCTGCATTCTAAGTAGATTGGATTCATGATCGAAAGCTCTTTAGGAAAAGTTTTGAAGGTGGATGAAGGATTTAGGAAAGTTACTAGAGTTAAAATTGATTTGAAAGTGGATAACCTATTGAGAAGATTTAAAACTATTCAAATTACTCCTACAGAAAGTAAGAAACTTAGGATCAAATATGAAAGAATCCTAGAATTTTGTTTTGTTTGTGGATGTTTAGGCCATTTTGAGAACGATTGTGAAATTGCTCATTGCATAAAAGATGTCGATGGTAAGATTATAAGATGCTTTGGTACTTGGTTAAAAGTTAAACTGGAGAACTCATGGTGCCTGGATGATTTTGATGCTTTGGATGCAACCTTCTTTGCAAATACCCAATTTTTGGTGGGGGAAAAGGATGTAGATGATAAAGAGCATCTTGAGAATGAAGAAATACCATCAATTAATAATATGCGCAACTGTGGAAGCCAAGTTGAGAGGGGAAACAATGATGACGTATAAGTTGAGGGGGGAAAAGATGATAATGGCATAAATGACATGGGGCTTGGAGAAGAGACAAATCAATCTCTTGTTGTTTTGCCTCCAATAGCCGAGGTATAGTTAGTGGAAGTGCCTTTGTCCCAAGAGTTTGGTGGCATGAGAAATCAAAAAGGGAAAGGGAAAGCTACAAAAGTAAGCAAGGGTCGTTGGAAAAGGCTAAACTATGGAGTGGTATCAATACTGCACATAGGAAAATACATTCAAAATAAGTGGAAGAGTTGTCCAACACTTATGAGGAAGAGAAAGCCTACAAAGTGCTTGTAGACAATACAGGGATGGCTTTAGCACAATTGGTTAAAGGCCATGACCCTCTACCGGTTGAAGCTTACATTAGTTATGGATGAAATTTAGTGGGTTGGGGACTATTGATGTCAAGATTCCTTGCTCTCCCCATGAAATTGACTAAATAGCTAAGGATGTCTAGTAGTTTATGGTGCACATAACGATTTTCCTTTTTACTTTAGTAGCCCTATTTATTCTTATATAGTAATTGCAGTTGTAATATCTAATTATAGATGATTATCTTTACTTAATTGTCTATATCCGTCATGTGTATAGTTTAAATATATTACTAATACTGTAGGTTTTGCTTTTGATTTTAATTAGACTATAGTGTCTTGAGATAGAGATTCAATTGCAATCTCTTTCATTTTAATATAATCTCTATTTTCTATCCCAAAAAAAGAAAAAATTTCTCTAATAAACTAATAAACCCTCTTTCTTAACACACATGTACAGTTGGTTATTTTGACCAAAGAACTAACTTACAATTTAAGTACAGGAGATTATATCATTCTTAGTTTTGACATAAATAACTTACTTTTAATTATATTAAAAATATATTAATTTTAAAATAGGTGTAAATTGACTCAAAAACACTCTTATCCTAAAAGGAAAAAATTAAGCCTTGACAATGAGTCTGAAAACCCATCCATAAAGAGGGTGAGCTGTATGCTTTGACAAGAATCTAGAAAAGCCTGCGTTTGTTCTAATTGAACAAGAAAAATGCATGGTAATTAGACTAATCATTTAAAAGAGAAAATATTATCACAATCATAGGAGTGTACATTGGTTGGTCCAAACTCGGAAGAGAGAAGGGGAAAAAAAATTACTCTTTTGGTTTGAAAAAAAGGTAGGACAACGTACGAATAGATGTAGGGAGGGAGGAAGGGAGGAGAGATGTGAAGTTCTGAAACCCAAATTGATTAGTTAAATCGCAATAATTGGACTTAAACGACATGATCCATTTAGCCATAGAATTAAAGCACAAAGAGAATCCCATATCCATATGAGTCATGAAGACAACTAATTGGAAAAAGATTTCGCGTTCATGAATGAGTACCATTTGTAAGTTGTACACTTTCTAATAAGATTATTGGTTATTGGGTCTCCATCAAAATCAACAAATCGATACAAGAATTGCAATGTCTGCAAGATCCACTAAGTTGTAAACTTGTATCCTGGTGACAACGCTAAGATTCCCTGAGAGTGGATCACCCAAGATTCGCTGGTTCGAGTCCTTGATTGCGCATCCAAAAGAAAAAATAAAAATAAAAAATTGCCATTTGGCCATACATGGTATGACAACCTTATTAAGCACACAAACTAACCATATATTTGGGGTAAGGGGAAAAGAAAGAAAACAGTATTTTACTCATTAAAATATAACATTTTAAAAATATTATAATTTGATTAAATAAAAATTTTTTTTCACTCTTTTCCTTTCATTTCTATTTTTTTTAATCTAAATATATTATAAGGGTATAATTGTATTTGTTTTTATTGTTAGAAACAATTAAAAGTTGTAATTCTTAGTTGATAATTGATAAAATAACTAATATGTATGACTTAATAGTTTAAAGTTAACTTATAAATTGATATTTTTGACACCTTAACCATTTATAAATTAACAAAATAATACAAATCAAATTTATTATAATATTTTGTGTGTTGCCATCAATCTAATTAAGTTGTTAAGTAATCTCTTTCAATTGAAATAAAAGATTGCGTGTTTAAAAGGTGTGGCCATGACTATGTCCATGCCTACCAAATGAATCAAATGATCATGATTTTCACCACATGAATAAATGCTAAGGCCATGCATAACAATTGAATTTGTGTGATTTTATTAATTTATAATTAATTAAAAATTTTAAAAATATTAGTTTATATATTGATTTTAAATTATTTAATAATAAATATTAATTTTTTAATTATATATCAATTAACAAGTATAATTATTAACTTTTTTAATAACTAAATTAAACACAATTATATATAGTATCTGTTTTTTTAACTTTAATATTTATTTGTATGGCCAGGACCATGGCCCTCCCGCACCAATTAATAAACATTATCATAGCATAATTTCAACACTCTAGTTATTGTGGCATTGGCTTAGAAGGTTTATTAACTAAAAGCCTTATTGAATATTTTTATTTAATTTTAAAAAAATTAATTATTATTTATATAATATATTAAATTTTTATTTAAAATTTACATTTTAAAAGTTAAAAAATTAAATTAAATTTATTAAAAATAAATGAAAATGGTACAATTTATATACGGTAATAAAATGCAAATTTTTTAAAGTATATTTTTATTAATTAAGATATTTTAAAAAATATCTTATTTTTGCAGTTGAGTTTGCATAACAATTTTTTTTGTACCTTTAGTACTAATTTAAGATAAATATTATATTTATGCTGTAATACACAAAAAGTTCTCCTAAAATACTTGTAGAGCAGAAGTAACGCTCATTGGTCGTCTCCAAAGCCTATCAAATTTGAATGGTAATCAGTGCTGTTAAGTCCTTATCCCTTTTGTGCAATTTTTTTAAAATCATTTCACCTTATCCCTTTTGTGCAATTTTTTTAAAATTATTTCACCTTATCCCCAGTTCTTCACTTTCTAAAAGAACATTTCTCCATCAAAACTTACTGTGTCTAGCCTTTTACGACAACTCAAGACAACTCAATATTAAAGGAATCTTTAAAAGTCGTTATGAGTTTATCATAATCTTTTCATGGTAAATTGACTGACATGATCATTATTAAGCAACTTAATAATGCACTTGTTGTCGGATCAATTTTTACATATTTTGAAATTAATTTTTTTTAAAAAAAAATTTACAAAATATTTTTATATAAAATTAATTTACTTAAATATTAATTTTAAAATTTAAATATTAAATTTAATTTATAAAATAAGATTTATTTATAGATGTTGCGATTTGAAATCTTTTCAGGAGTACCCGCGTCTTTGTCGGTAAAAAAGGATGAAGGTTCATTGCATTAGAGAAGGGCTTGGGCTATAAATTGGGTCTGAATTGGACTTTAGAATGTAATATGGCATGATCTCAATCTGGATCTTAAACACGGGCCGAAACTGGGAAAGCTCAAGCGGCCCTTGTAATCACGTACGGCCCGTTTCACATGGTTTACCCTGACCTGGGACCCAATTCCTAAGCTTGCTGGACAAGCGTTTTGCTCGCTCTTGTTTGGCGCTCCTCCCAACTCTTTTCAAAGCATTGTTTCCCTCCATCTTGCACTTCAGTCTCTTTCTGTGTAATCCCTCACTCTCTCGGCCTAATCGATCTTTGGCGGTGTGTAATTGGCTAGTATGGAGCAGCAGAGACACCAGAAAATGGCACAGCAACAGCAACAGGAGGAGGTCGAGGAAGGACAGCACGGCCCATTCCCTGTAGAGCAGCTTCAGGTGAAAGTCCTTAAGATTACCCCTTTTGATGTTCTTATTTAAGGGTTTTTATTTGTTCGATTGATTGTCTGTAGCTGACTGAGGACGTGCCCTAATGGGTTTTTGATTTGATCCCCAAAGTTTGCTCTTTTAATCCGATTTTGGTGTTTCTCCATAGGGTTTGGGAAAACGATTTTTTGAAACCCGTGCTCATGATTGTAGAGATTGAAAAGGACTTTGCACTTAAGCTTTTTTGAGCTCCTATGCTGTGTTATTCGGAACTGGGTTTGTTCAATCTTGGTTATTTTTCCTTATTTTAGAGCAGATTAAGGTTGCGCCGGAATGGGTTTTCGTCATTGCAGTTTCTTCCTGTTAGAGTTCCTTGATCGATTACATCCTAAGATTTTGCCTTTGGAATGCATTTTGCCTTATGTCTTTGGATGGGTTAGTCCAGATGGGTATTTTGCTGGCATCTTTGTACAAGATTTTTCAATTTAGATGGGTTTTGCATGCCCTTTCGGCATTGATGTTGAATCTTGTTTCATTCGCACCAAGCTCGAGTTATGTCAATATTGCTGATACCCATTTATTGGCGTTAACTATAGTAGAAAGATTAGTGCATCTTATCTTTCTTTTGGTTATATAAAAAAGATGTTCTATTCGCGAGTTTCTTACGGGTGAAGTGAACTAGATGTAGGAATGTCTGTTTAGGTTTTTCTTTCTCTCTTTCTTTCTTTCTTTCTTTCTTTCTTTCTCTGTTTGGTTTTTTGGACATATGCTCCAATGTTTTAGGTCATTGTTTTGATAACTTCGATATTCAACTGAAGGCATCAGGCATTGCTTCGCTTGATGTAAAGAAGCTGAAGGATGCTGGTCTTTGCACGGTTGAATCTGTTGCTTACACACCTAGGAAAGATCTTCTTCAAATTAAAGGAATAAGTGAAGCTAAAGTTGACAAGCTCATTGAAGCAGGCATGTTCTTTCAGATCTGTTGCTTACCTAGTTCTTTTTTGTGGTTTTTTTTCCCATCATTTATAACAAAATTTAAAACTAAGATATTTGGTTTGTCTTGATTCTTGGCAGCTTCAAAACTTGTTCCTTTGGGTTTCACCAGTGCCAGCCAACTTCATGCCCAGAGGCTTGAGATAATTCAGATGACATCTGGGTCAAGTGAACTGGACAAAATTTTGGAAGGTAAGTCTTACTTGATCTTTTTTGAATTTAGGTCAACTAAACATTTCTGATTGAGTACTTGTTGATCAGTTAAGAGCTGAAAATTAATGCTAGTATAATTATATATTTTTTTAAAAAAATTTTTTGGGGGTTTTGTCCTATGCTCACTGGGTTATCTTTCTGGCAGGAGGGATTGAGACAGGATCTATTACTGAGATATATGGTGAGTTCCGCTCTGGGAAGACTCAACTCTGTCATACACTTTGTGTCACCTGCCAAGTAAGAGCTTTTCTTTTTCTTTCTTCCCCTATCAACTGCAAGAATGGTTGATATTGTGCATTCATAATTCTAAAACTCTTTATCTTTTCCAAATGAAACAAGAATTCAGCCCTCTAGAATCATTATGCATGACAAAGGTCTTCTTCTTCATCATCTTCTTCTTCTTATATATATATATATATATATTTTTCTTCAATGAATGTGCTTTATATTTGCCCATTAGATTTCAGTTTACTCATATACCTTGATATTTCAGCTTCCATTGGATCAAGGAGGTGGTGAGGGAAAAGCAATGTACATTGATGCGGAAGGCACATTCAGGCCACAGAGACTCTTACAGATAGCTGAGAGGTAATACACAGATACCTTGAGAAGACCATGCTGCCCTCATGCACAATGATGCAATACTGACAATTAATGGCATTGGATGCTGTAGGTTTGGGCTGAATGGTGCTGATGTCTTGGAGAATGTGGCCTATGCTAGAGCATATAACACCGATCATCAGTCAAGACTTTTGCTTGAAGCAGCTTCAATGATGGTGGAAACAAGGCATTCTCCTAACATTTCTCTTAACAATATAACCTCTAATATCATTTTTACTAATCTACTAGTGCTGTCTCCCTTAGAAAAAAATTGATGAAGCTTGCATGACTTAAAATCTAGCTGTTTGAAAGTTGGAAAAAGTTCCCTTGATTTTGTTGCATCAATTGTCAGTCAAAGGAATTGCACTTTCACTTGCCTGTTAAATTACCGTCTGAATAATAATTCTTTGATAGTTTTTCCATAGTAACTGGAGCAATGAGCTTCTAACCATTTAAACTTAGCTTGTTTGAATTATTAATTTTGGGCTTAGCCCTACGCAAGCTGATTTAAGTATTTATGGATTTCCATTCAACAGGTTTGCTCTTATGATAGTAGACAGTGCTACTGCTCTTTATAGAACAGATTTCAATGGGAGAGGTGAGCTGTCAGCCCGGCAAATGCATCTTGCAAAATTCCTAAGGAGCCTCCAAAAGTTAGCAGACGAGGTAGACTAAACTTTCAAACCTTCCATCATGATATGCCATCATGGTGTCATGTGCTTGAAATATTTGGGTTGCTACAATATGGTCCCCAGAATTCTACTTGCTACGGGAAATTCTCTTGTTTCTTGTTTTCACTATTTTTTGGTATCAATTCATTAGTTCTACATGGGTCGTTGACTCGGCTTTAGTATTCATTATCTTTTTGCGTCATGTTCTATCACTGTAGTTCGGGGTAGCTGTTGTGATTACAAACCAAGTAGTTGCACAAGTGGATGGTTCTGCCATCTTTGCTGGACCTCAAATTAAACCTATTGGTGGTAACATCATGGCTCATGCTTCTACAACAAGGTTTGTTACAGAAAGTCCATTTTCCACCCTCCCAACCTCTTTCGGTCAAATATTCCTTACCCTATGATCTCCACTCCATCATGGCAGGCTTGCTCTTCGTAAAGGAAGGGGAGAGGAGCGCATTTGCAAAGTCATTAGTTCTCCCTGTTTGGCTGAGGCTGAAGCCCGCTTTCAGATTTCCACAGGAGGTGTAGCTGATGTCAAGGACTAGTTCCTTCGAAGTCGTGTTTTTCCTTTTTGTTTGATCAATCTGTTATTATATCAATGATTCAGCCATCACAATTCACTACTCTGTAAAATTTTGTCTGCAATGAAACATACCCAATTTTTTTTTTCCTCTGGCTAATGTTTATGATAATTCTCATATTTACTTTTATATACAAAAATTATATACCAGAAAAAAAAAAAAAAGAAGAGAGAGAGAGAAGATTATTATACCTGCCGTAAATAATAAGCTGCTTTAAGAAGAAGAAAAAATGGTTAAATTCAATAAATAATTTATTAATTATATTATTTATTTTAGTTTAGTTTTAAATTTTTTTTTAAAATGATTTATAAATTATTAATTTTGTTTTAAAATTGTTTATTTGATAAACATTTCATTAATTATAAATTAACGGAATGTTTGCCTATACAAGATGGTGTAAATTAGTTACCCTTTAAACTTTTAAAAAATATTAAATATAATACATATATTTTTGTTTTTTTTGTAACATTTTGTTTTTGAAAATTAAATTTATGTCAAATGTAATAATTAATTAAGATAATAATTGTAATCTACATTGATCAAAATTTTACTTTTAATTTACAATAATCAATATTATGATTTAAATTTTATTATTTCTTACAAAACTTAATAT